CAGGCCTGGGAGGCACGAGGACTCCATGAAACTGTGTGCGCACCTTCACGAGAAGGGCGTTGGGAGATCGCGTTACTGAAGACGGCCCTGTCGAGCACCGCTGGGTGTGCCACTCGCAGGGCAGAGCGGGTGTGTCCTGCTAGGAGCCGGTTTGGCCGGCCCCGCCTTGCTGGCAGAAGCTTGGTTTCAAAATGGGCTAATAGCTGGGGACACAGACACTCTTTTCATCTTGGCCTGCCCAGCACATACCCAGCTCCCAAGGAGCCAGGCCGCTCTGTCCGGTCAGCCAGAGCTCGAGTGGAACTCTCTAGGCTCAGCCGGCCAGCTGCCATCTTCCAGGTCAAGGCAGGAAGGGAAGCATTCTGGACCGTCCTTCACAGACTGGCTCGCCCTGTCTAGGATGGCCCTGCCTTCCCGGCAGCCCACTTTGCTTAGGGTGGCTCCCCTGTGCCCTGGAGCCCGTGGGACCCAGTGCTGGTGGGCGGCCTGCATCTCCTTCCCCTGCACGCATTCTCACAGCTCCCCTTCCACTGAGCACCTGCCTGTTCCAGGCACAATAAAGGGCATCTGTGCCCTGGAGAGCGTAGGGTAATGACAGAAATCCACCTTAGCAACTACAGAACAAGCAAGACCACAGGCCACCGGGTGTGAGGGTGAATACTTCCAACTCTGGGCATTACTGGTGTCTGGAGCCAGGGCTGGGGGCTGGGTCAGAGGCTCTGTAGAGACGCCAGGTTACAGAGGAGGCCTTGGAGAAATGTGGGATTGAGAGGAGGCAGGCGAGGAAGGCTACCCAGGGTGGAGAAGAGTCTGAGCAGGAGCAGGGAGGCAGGAAATGGCTGAGGCCGTGGGGACACGAGGGCTGTGTGTGGGTGGGGAAGAGATGGCTGGACAGGCAGGTGTGGCCAGGTGGGCTCTCCAGCACAGTATGGGCCAATGAAAGCTCCGCCTGAGGAAGGTCAAGGTGGTGGCATTGCCAGGCAGGGGCCAGAGCCCCCCGGGGCTGGGTGGGGCTGGTGGGAGGCGCTGGAGTTGGCCAGCAGTGAGCTGTCACAGCCTAGGTGGTGGGGGTGCAAAGGGATAGTTGGGAAGGACTCTCAGGTGAAGGACAGAAGGACACCATCACCTCCTGACTGGTTAGTGACTGTTCTGTCCAGTGATCTTGGGCGAACAGCAGCCTCTCCAGCCTGCATGGCTCTCTCAAGGGGACGCCGGCTACCTTCAGCTCTTCGAGGCCCCGGGTCTGGGTTGTGCTGCTTCGCCTTGGTCCAGTCCCCCTCTGGTCTGCCTCCTCGCCCGCAAAGCGAGGGGCTGGCTCTGAGAGCTTCGTGGCTTACAGAGGAACAGGGAGCGAGGGAGCGTTCAGTGTGGAGTTAACCCCACACTTCTAGAATGAGGGGGAGAAGGGAGGACGGACAGGTGAGTTACAAGCCCTGCGTCATCAGCAGAAGGGGCAGCAGAGCAGGGACTGGCTGGGGGCTTCTGGCTAAAGACAGATTTCCCTGCCCCACCTTGGATCGTGGTTCCAAGTGTTGCCCCCAAGAGCCCCACTGGTCTCCCGAGTGGAGAAGCACGTCTCTCTGGGCACACCCTGGGCTTCCACCTGACCGGCCAGCCCAGCCTGCTCTCGGGTTGAGCGGTCAGCTCTGCTCCTGCGCAGTTGAGTTTCTAGCCTCTGGAATGTTCTGATCCATCCATCCCACCTGAGGCTGGAGTTTCCCAAGGAAGCATGGAATAACCAGACAAGGGGTTGTGTGTGTGTCACTGTCCTTTGTATTCAAAGAGGAGGACGCCGCCAGCAGATCGCTATCTGGCTGGGAGAGCGGCGCTGGCATCACCGCTCCGCCACCTGCGGGGGGTGCGTGTGCGCCGCCCGCGCATTCCTTTCCAGCTGCAGCTGCTCTCTCGGCACCTGGCAGACAGGATTTGGAACCGTGCGGGGGCGTCTGTGCTGGTCACGGTGACTGTGAGAGCATTGCAGGCATTTGGGGCCTGGAGGCCAGGGGCACCTCACATCCTGCAGTGCTGGGGGCACCTCACAGTGCAGAGTTGTCCTGCCTCGGGTGTGGCGGCGCCCACGCAGAGAAACACCAGGCCATCCCGTCACCGCGCCTGACTTCCCTCCGGGTGCCCCACCCCGGCGGACCCTGTGCCTCCGTCTTTCTGGGACGTATTTGGACCTGCCGTGGCCGTGGGTGAGACCAGCAGGGGACTCTGATCCCGCTCTGTGCTCCTTTCCCAGCTCATGTGCCCACCCGCGGCTCCTTTAGGTCTGGCGGGGTGATGCGAAGCCTCCTGCAGGAGCTGCTCCCTAAAGGCAGCCGGCCTGTCCCGGACCTGGGAGTCAGAGGGATGGGGATGTCCCACCGGACGCTTATGTCATGCACGTCCTAAGTGCTTTACGAACAGTTCATTGAATTCTCCCAACAACCCTATGTGTCGGGTACAATCCTAGTTTTACAGATGGAGAAACTGAGGCACATGGGGCTTAAGTAACTTGCCCAAGGCCACTCATCAGGCAACTGACAAGGCCAGGGCCGTCCTCTGCGGCACAGGTCTCAGCCCGGCGAGGAACGCACCCGGACTCCAGGCGCTGCTGCCGTTTCAGCCGTAGGGACCGCAGGCTTCAGCAAGCCACAGGCCACCCGTGCGGGCAGGGCTGGTGGCAGCCTGCCTTATCGAGCCTTGGAGGGGACCCAGGCCCCCTCGTGGTACTGGGGGAGGACAGGGTCTGGGTGAGAAGAAGCTTTCCTCCTGCTTGTCAAAGTGACGGCAAAGGGCATGGTGGTGCGAGAGGGTCACCCACAGCTGTCCTCAGCACATGCAGACGTGCAGCCCACCAGCACTGTGACACCAGGGGCTGGGTGGGGTTCCCAGGATTGGTGACGCCGCCGGGTGTGGCTGATGGGAGCCGGGAAATTCGGTCCCACAGGGGCGTCTCTGCCTTCCCGCCTCACCGGCTTCCCCGTGGCGTGGCTGGCACCGCTCCCCGTGGGCAGCCCACCCTCGCCGAGACTTGGCATGGCTGCCCGGAGCTCCTTTTCCCAGCACAGGGGAGCCGAGCCCAAAGCCTCTGTCGGGCTTAATCAGCATGATCGCATCTTCGCTGGGCCGGGGCCAGGACGAGCGTTTGGCCTTCTCAGGTGTCTGAGATGACGTCCAGGTGTGTCGTTTACTGAGAACAAGGGCGCTCCTGTTGCACTTCCATTTACGGCTCAGCGGCCTCCGCCCTGGGCAGTGCGTGGCTTTCCCTCCAAGGAGCCACCGCCACCTTCCTTCCGCCAGAGGAGAACGGAGGGCGTGGCCCTGTCAAAGCAGGGGCGGCCGAACTGCACATCTTGCCCGCGGTCTGCAAGGGGTGCGTTCCTCATCCACATGCTCAGAAACTGCCCAGCTCTTCCTCCCTCTGCCTCGTACTGTCCCACACCCACACGCCACTTCCCTTTGGGGTAGGCTGGTTTGACCCAGTTTGGGGAGGAAAATTACACCTGCCCGAGTGCACAGCTGGCTGTGCGGGAGAAGGGGACGGGCAGGCCACTGCCAAGGCTAACAGTCTGTGGCTTCTGAGTTTCACGTGCCGCTTCTGACCGGCAGCTTGACACTCTGTCTTTCTGGGAGCTCGGACCACGGAGGCTCCTGCTCTCCACGGCTCCCTGCGGGTGTGAAGGGGACCCAGCCCCTCCCAGCCTTGTGTGGCTATGTCTGGTGCCGAGAAGTACCCAGTTGTCGGAGGACCTGCCCTACACACAGACACACTCACACACACACACACACACACTCACACACTCACACACTCACGGGCACACACACACTCTCTCTCTCTCACGGAGGGGGACAGGCAGGTTCCAGGCTGCTGGGTTTGGCCCTGGCTCATCCCAGCAAAGGTGAGTCCCAAGTCAGCACCTGTGCGGAGACATTTGATCAGGCCCCGTGCTGATCCTCCAGTCTGAGAACAAGTCCCAGCAGGCCAGACCCACCAGCGTGAGTTCCTGGGAACGTCCTCCGCGGACAGGTCTGTTCCAGAGCTAATTCCCACAGTCTCCAGCCTTGGGGCTCCTCCTGGGAGCTGACTCCCGGCTGGGCTCTCGCAGAGCCCCGGGGGCGGGGGGGCTCGCTGTCCATTGTATGTTTTCCTGTTGGGCTGAGCCTCTGCCCAGCTTCTCCCACTGCCAGCCCGACAGCAAAGCGCTGGAGTGGCGAAGAGCTTCCATGTGCCCCGTGGGCCCCTAGCTGACAGTCCCTTGTAAAAGGGCCCAGGGAGCAGGAGTCTCATCCCTCTTCGGCCTTTGAGGGTTACCATTTGCTTCTTGCCCTGGCAGAGGGGAGGCAAGGTGAAGAGTTCAGCAGAAAAGAATAGTAGAAAACAGTCCTGGCCAGCATAGAAGTTTCCATGTGCTGAGCACAAGTGACCAAGGAAGGCTGGCTGTGTCAGAGCTGCTGGCACCTGGGCATGGCACGGGCTATCGGGGCGAGGGCGTGCAGACCTTGCAGACACAGGCTCAGGCCCAGGTTCCACCGTTGCCTCGCGGAGCAGCTACTGGAAGTCCCCTCTTCTCTCTGGGCCTGCAACTCACTCCCCTCCAGGGCTGTGCCTATGTGGGACCAGGTCAGTGGCTGTCAAACTTTTCTGACCACATCCCACAGTGAGAAACACATCTTACGTTGCAATCTAGTACCCACGCACTGTTCCACAGAACGATTCGTTTCTTTCCTACCTGCTTCTCAGTCTGATATTTTATATTCCAGGATTAGTTATTCTATTCTATTATTTGAAACGATGGTCGCAGTCTGCTAAATTGATTTCATGATCCATCATGGGTCACAGCCTACAGTTTGAAGAGTAATAGATCAGATGATGGCTAAGGTTCCTTCCACTCCAGACATTCTGGATTCCATGAGCTTTATGATGGGGCCGAGGGAGGGATGTAGCTCGGGACCGGCTGGACTCAGGATCCCTGCTCAGGAACCTTGACCGAGCCTTTGTCCCTTTCCCCGGCCAGATCTACAACGGGACCCTCAAGCGGGAGCCTGACAACAGGCGCTTCAGCTCCTACAGCCAGATGGAGAACTGGAGCCGCCACTATCCCCGGGGCAGCTATAACACCACCGGTGCGGGCAGTGACATCTGCTTCATGCAGAAAATCAAGGCGAGCCGCAGCGAGCCCGACCTCTACTGTGACCCGAGGGGCACCCTGCGCAAGGGCACACTGCAGAAGGGCCACAAGACCACCCAGAACCGCTACAGCTTCTACAGCACCTGCAGCGGTCAGAAGGCTGTCAAGAAGTACCCGGTGCGCCCACCCTCCTGCGCCTCCAAGCAGGACCCAGTGTATGTCCCGCCCATCTCCTGCAACAAGGACCTGTCCTTTGGCCACTCCAGGGCCAGTTCCAAGTGAGTGCTTCTAGGCTGAGTGGGGGGCCGGGTGGGGGCCACTAGCCTGGGTGTGCTCTGCAAGGGGCTCCTAGGATGGCAGGAGAGACACAGCCTCGCCACGGGGAGGCCCTGGCCTGGTGGGCCCCTGACCTCAGGGAGCTCTCGGGGTGAAGGGGAGATGGAACCAGAATGGAGGTTGTACAGGCCGCGGGTTATGGATGAAGGGAGGCTAATTAGGCCAGTGGTTCTCAAAAATGTGTCCCCCTGACGAGCAACATCAGCATCACCTGGGGATTTGTTAAAAATGCTTATTCTTGGGCGCCACCCAGACCTGCTAACTCAGAGACACTGGGAGAAGGTCCCGGTGTCTTAACAAGCCCCCTGGGTGATTGTGATTCACGCTAGCATTTGAGAACCTCCAATCTTAGGCATGTCAATTTCTATCCATGTTCTGAAAGAGCAAAGGAACATGCCTTGGTGTTGACAGCAGGGGTAGAATGGGTTACAGGTTCTAAGACAGGTAACTCCAAAGAATGAATAGGACAAACAGACATAAAACAGAGGGACACGATCTAGTGCTAAGGAACAGAAAACAACTCCTATACATAAAGGGTGAAGGGCCATTGCCCCGTAGGAAGAACAGAGACCGAATGGGGTGTCCCGTAAGGAGCCCTAGGGACTTGGATGTCACGAGTGACATTGCGCCTGCCCTTCAGGGCTCAGAGTGCCGTGAACTTTTGCACTGTCCTTCATCACCACCTAACGATCACTGTTACTCATCGATTTAGCAAACACTTACTGAGCATCTGCTACATGCCCGGCTCTGTGGTGAGTGCAGGGACACAGCCCTGAGGACAGGCCAGAGCTGTTCTGGAGCTGCGCAATTACCTGCTTTCCTAGCACCCAGGAGCACTGCATTCTCCGTCCTTAATCCTCACAATCCCTTCTAGCCAGGTGCCGGTATTCCTGAGGAGGAAACAAGGCCCAGAGATGTTAAAATGTTAAGTAGCTCGTCCAAGGCCACACAGCTGCCTCTACATCCTGCGCTTCTTCCTGCTGGTTCCGCATCGTTCTGAAAATAAGCAGAACCCCATTAAGGAGCCAGCCCTCTCCTAACTACTGAAAGGCTATAAGGTGCATTTGGGGTGATTGGAGAGGGGCGAGGAAACCCCTCTTCTCCGGAGACTGATCCGGGCAGCGTCTGGCCCTGGTTTATTGCCCCAACCAGAGGCCCTGAGTGGAGGGTCTAGGTAAGATACAGAGGGGATGAGTGACAAGCCATTTGGAAGTGACATTTGACTGACAGATGCAGGGTGACATTCTCTCAATGCAGGGCAGGGGTACTACTAGTCCAGTGCCAGAGAGCTCTGCCCCTTGGGTGATTTTTCTAGAAATGAAGTTGGGCTGTCATACCTCAAACCGTGCATATTTACTGAGCACCTGGTGTTGAGAACGCGAATGCAGTACAAACGAGGAGAGAGCTCACTCTGTAAGTGTGGACGAGCATCTAGTGGAGTAGAGCTGGGTGCCACAGAAGGGCCCTCCCCTGCCCTGGGACAACTCTCCATCACTGCTGGGAACCAGGACAGTCAGTCACCAGCCTGTGACTCAACACTGTGGGAGCCGGAAAGGATCCTACAAGAGAGGTTCCCTTCAGATGTGCCTGAGATCTGGTCAGGGGACCCTTGTTAAGGGACTCAGAATGTGCAAGAGGACACAGTGGAGCCAGATGATTAGGCTAAAGCATATGAAGTTTCTGGTTTTGTGGCTCAAAAAGGGCTATCAGCCAGTTCGCATGGTCCAACCTAATGCATGCCCTCGGATGCCAGTCTAAGCAGTTTGAACCTGGACCTGCAGTATGGAGACGCCACTGATGGTTTCTGAGCCGGGGAGCAGCACAGTCAGCAGGGTTTTAGGACCACTTATTGGGTAAAAGGATATAAATCGTTGGGTGGGGGAGCTTGGAAAAGAGGGTCTATTGCTGCCAATCAGTCATGAGCATGATCATCATCAGTAGGAAAGTGGGGGCCACGAGGATGGGAAGAAGAGGTGGATGTGAGAGTTTTTGTGTAAGAAGAGCCAGCTGGACATGCAGATGGATGGATGGATGGATGGATGGATGGGTAGATGGGTAGATGGATGCATGGGTGGATGGATGGATGGGTGAGTGGGTGGATGGATGGATGGGTGGATGGGTAGATGGATGGGTGGATGATGGATGATGGATGTGTGGATGGATGGATGGGTGGATGGATGTGTGAATGGATGGATGGGTGGATGGGTGGATGGATGGATGGGTGGATGGATGGATGGATGGATGGGTGGAATGGATGGATGGGTGGATGGGTGGATGGATGGATGGGTGGATGGATGGATGGATGGATGGGTGGATGGATGGGTGGATGGATGTGTGGATGGATGGATGTGTGGATGGATGTGTGGATGGATGGATGGGTGGATGGATGGATGGGTGGACGGATGGGTGGATGGATGGATGGATGGATTTGTGGATGGATAGATGGGTGGATGGATGGGTGGGCTCATGGCCGCAGTCTTTCATTTTCCCAATACTGGGCACAAACCTGAGAGATGGAAGGGTGAGTGGGGAGCTTCCCCACAGGGAACAGGGTGGAGTGTTTCCTCAGTGCAGAGATAACCTGCCTGACTGGACACTAACCATGACCGGAGCCTCACAGAGCCAGTGTTCTCACAGTGGAAAGCCCAGTGGATGTGCGTCTGCCTCCGCTGAAGGAGCTGAGCTGTTCTAAGGGTGTTCTCCAAGTGGGCCTGGGCCTGCCATGTTCTGACTCTCTGGAGGGCAGAGGAGGCTGTGGCAGCTCGGGGGTGCAAGGAGGAATTCCGAGCCCCCTCTCCAGGGCTCCCAGCCCTCCCTGTAACCCATGCCCACTGCCCGTTCCCCACAGGATCTGCAGTGAGG